TACGACTACGACTACGACTACGACTACTACTACTACTACTACTACTACTACTACTACTACTACTACTACTACTACTACTACTACTACTAGGAGGATCCATTTGCATATTTTAGAAACGATGCAATTCGGTGCGTTTTTGCTCACGCTTCGGCGCCCTCTTGCTCATCTTAACGTAGTACTCGTGCGCAGACCAAACATTGAGACCAATTCCAACTCGAGCACGCATGTTGGCTTCCAGATCCTCTGCGTTGACATAAGGGGTGTCACTTGGTCTTCGCAGTCGTCTTGGGCTTCTCTACACTTAAAATCCTATTGTAGGGCTATCCCAAGATGGTTGGGATTGGGCCCAGTTTGCTTTTCGCACTGGTTGGGATTGGTCCCGGTTGGTTGGGATTGGGCCCAGTGGGTTGGGATTGGGCCCACATGCGGTAGCGACCCCCCCCCCCGGGTCAGATACGACGCCCCCCCCTGGGACTCCTCTTCCCCTGGGCTCCAGCGAAGCCGACCTTGAGCAACCTCGTAATTGAGTCGAAGGGAAGCCCCTTCCCTTTCATTCCTCCCCCGCCGGGAGGGGGGGGGAGGTAGCGGGGGGGGTAGCGACCCCCTTTCCGAGTCAGATACGACGCCCCCCCCCCGTACCGACCTTGAGCAACGTCGTCATTGAGTCGAAGGGAAGCCCCTTCCCTTTCCCTTCCCCGACGGGGGGGGGAGAGGAGGTCCCGGGGGGGGTCCCGGGGGAGTCCCGGGGAAGTCCCGGGTCAGATACGACACCTCCCTCCCCCACCTTCTCGTCCTTCTCCCCGTTCCCCCAAACCATCCCACAGCCCGTGCCTCTTGCTGCGCATTGCGAACAGGGTCGGCGGCACCGGCCGTCAGGCCTTCGCAATACACATGTCCGAGCGATGCCAGGAGATGGGGGACCCAGAAGCCTCGGATCGAGTCGACGTGTGTGTCGGATCGGGCCGCATCGGCACCGAACCGGAATCAAATCGGACTGGCCGCGCCAGGATGCACAACGGCGCCCGCGCAAGCATCGGGCCACATCGGATCGTCGCGAGTCAGAATCGGATCGGGCCAGCAAAACCGACCTAGAATCGGATCGATCGGATCGAAATGAACCCACCACTGGGATGACAGCGGGGGGGGCTAAGAGGATAGGGAGGTTATACGTGGATGCCAAAGTAGGTTGCGATAGGCGTAATATATAAATTATAAATGGTTTAGAAGTGTGTAAGTGGTTCAAGGTCTGAACGGAGTGGACTCCCCCAAGACACTTCGGGCACATGTAGCCCACCTACAGTGTAGCCGGCGGCAAATACAAGCCCGCTGACAACACCTCCTCATTCCGACTTTCAGCGTCCGGCGTGTAATCATGAAGATCTTCGTGTGAGCCAGAGTTCTGCAGGGTTTGAGAGGCTACGGCGACACGCGCTTTGCCCAAACGGGCACAGGCAGACGCGCGTCGCCGCATGGGCCTGCACTGCCGGCTCGCTCGCTCCCTTCAGCCGCACCTCAGCATCCACATATCATCTCCCCATCCCCTGGGCACCCACTGCGGTCATCCCAATACGGTCGTGACTTCTCACGATGTGGCAGTGGCTTCTGGGGAGCCCAAAACGCCCCGATCCCGCTGCTCCCCGGACCTCTCCCGGGGTGCGTTCTGACCAGGACTTCTCGGGGCGCATCCCGCGGTGGCGACAAGGGCCTCCCCCTCCCTGGAGGCCCAGCAAGCCACATACCGAGGCAAGGGCAGCGCGGTAGGGCTGCGCACCGGTGAGCGGCCTGGGCACCTCCTCCAACTCTGAGCCGCGGTGGCTTCGCGTCGTCGGATCCCCCCCCCCCCCCTCCAGAGGCCGAACAGAGGGGCGGCGTCCCCCCCCCCCTCGGCGGCGGCCCGGCCTGCCGCTCCGCCAGGGGCACCACCGACGTGCCCTGCCCACCGCCGCCCCCCGCGGCCGGGTCTGCGAGCGCAGGCGCCGAAGGGGGGGGGGAGGCACGCCCAGGGGGGGCAGCGCGGGGGGGGCGGAGCGCCCCAGGGCGGGGGGGGGGGGCAGAGGGGGAGGGAGGGGGGAGGGCTTCTGAGGGGGAGGCTGCCTCTTAGGAGGGGCGGGCCCTGTCTGCACGCGCGGGGCCGGCGACGACTTCTGTGAAGCAGCCGCCAACCTAGGATCGAGGAAGCCTTCCCCCCCTCCGCGCCTGGCCGAGTTCGGGGGAGCCCGGCTCTCGAGCATTGACAGAAGCCCCCCCCTGGAGCAGAACGCCCTCTGACGCAGGCCGCCGAGGCACTGCACGGGTGGGCGCGGCGCCGCCTTCCGAGTGCACTCGGCGGGATCCATATCCTCCACGTCCAAGCACACACGAACGTATCCAGCGAGACGCACGCCGATCGGCGAAACCGCCTCGGGACTGCACCAATGCACTCGAATGTGCCAATGTCGAATGAGCACGCGCCGCTGGGAAGCCCCGATGAGGGGGTCGGAGGATCTCGCACCACTTGTTTTTGTTGTTGTTTTGTTGTTGTTTAGGCTTTGTTGTTGATTTTTGGTTTAAAACAAAAAATCACCAACACCACTTGTAGTGTTGGTGATGCATCGGCCGTCGGCACAGAAAAATCGGACTCCGCATCGAGCCGCATCGCCGATGCATCGTCGATGCGGCGGAGTCCCCTGGCCCCCATCCGCTCCGCCGCCCCCCTCCGGGCGTCCCCACGACGGGTCGCAGAGCGGCCCGCGCCCCCCCCTTTATCGGGAGCGTCCGGATATGGGGCGTCCACGGCAGGCCTTTTCGTGTCCAGAACCCCTGGCTGAGCTGGGGTGTAACGTCAAGGGGCGGCCAGATCAGGCGGGGGGGGGGAGAAGGATCATCAGGCTGGCAACGGGAACATCGATAGAGTCGGACCCAGGCCAGAAGAACATCCTTCAAGGACATGAGAGCCTCCGCAGGCTGAAACGCATAGGACGCCCGAGAGTACCCACCCCAAGACGCACACACCCATCCAGCAAACACGAGTAACACTAGGGTACCCTCCCCGAACCGACCACGATCTTATACTTCGGTCCGACTGTATGGAATCGAATATACGTCGCCGACAGATCGGCAACAGGAGCGTGCCGGGGGAAGGCACTCCAGGAGGTCGCAGCGTCGGGGGCGGGGGGGCTGCATCTTTTTTGATTGGTGGACAGGCACCCAACTTCGTCTGGCAACTGTGCGACGATCAGAAAGGGGTCTTACGTGGTTCGCAATATCAAGACCCCTGACCCTTCGGGAGGGGCCTAAGTTAGGAGGGCCAGGCAGATTAGGGATAGGGGGTCTTTTCGTTCTGAAGATGTGTCAAACCCAACCCCCATATTCTTACCCCAAATGCAAACACGGAGACTCAAGTGAGGCCACGTCTTCACTGCGTTATTGAGCTTAAAGGTTCCTTCATTCTCGATGATTGCGCGGGGTGGAGTAGCGACCGTACGTCGCGGTTTACGTGGGCCGTCAACACGGCACGGTGCGCTGGAAGCGGGGGCGCTTCCGCGCGACCCTACGCGGGCAGCGTACGCACCAGTGTCGGCGCAGACGACCCCGATTTCTTGCGACGCTCAACTGAACATGTTTAGTTTGGCGTCGTTGGCCACCAGCTAGGCGATTTGCGCGCGCAAGCCGCTGGAGATAATTGATCTGCTTCCGTCGCAAATGCAACACATTATCAGCTGGCGTGGCGCCGCCCACCCACGCGCTCCAAGCGCTCTGCCGTGCCACCTTGCTGGCTCTTGCGAATCGACGCCAACCTACTCTTACAACGCGAATCGCCGACGCAAAATCTACGCTAATCGACGTTAAGTCGGCGGGTTCTCATCGATCACCAGACGCTAGCGCACGCTCATGCACTCGAAAGATGAAATCGCGAGGGCATACAAGACTCCCAAACATTGCTAACGAACAAGCCTGGTCACGAGACGTCTCCAGACTGCCCCTCTGCATTCCCAGTGTTCGGCTGCTTTCGTCGGTCCTCGGTGGATTTTAATCATCGGGATGCTCTCCAGCCCGCAAGGCAGACTCGGGCCTGCTGACACGGCGACGTCAACAGGCCTCAGCTGATCTCAAAAGCGACGGGGACTCTTTTCCCCGCCTTCGAGATCGACGTTTTTCAGTCTTGGGTCCGTGTTTCCGTTTGGGGATTCTCACTCGCCTCGTTTTCGGGTCGGTTCCGTTTTGTGCTGCCATGCTTTTTTTATGTTTGGGGTTGTGTCGGTTTGGCTTTCAACACCAGACTGCCCCCCTGCATTTCGGGTTCTCAGATATTTTCGTCGGTCCTCGGCGGTTTGTAAGCCTCGTGATGCTCTCTGGCAACTGCGCCTCGCCGAGAGCGTTCCCGGGGTGCCCGGATCGTCCCGAACGGCCATCAGAGAGCCGAGTTTTGACCCGAAAACAAATGATAGCGTGACGCAGGCCCTGAGATCTGGGCCCTGCAGCTTCTGCTTGCGCCAGCGTGTGCGCCCTGTCTCGGGCGCCGGGACCAGCACAGATCGATCCCGCTCGGGCAATGCCGCAACAGAAACCGGGATCTATACGTACAGTCGGAGGAGGAGGAGGAGGAGGAGGAGGAGGAGGAGGAGGGGGCCAGGGATGGATATGGATATGGATATGGATATGGATATATTTTTGGAGGGGCTTTGGTCGCGATGCTGCAACAGCGGATCTCTGGATCCGGGCGACGGGCTCTCTACGTACAGTCGGACCTAGGCCATGAGGAGCAGCCTCCAAGAACATGACGCCCTCCGTCGGCAGAACCAACCGAACACGCAAGGGTATCCTCCCCAGGACGCACAAAGACATCCGACAGACACGAAGAACACTAGCACGAGTAGAAGAGGGAGAGAAAAACTGCACAACATAAACTTTTGGCGCTCCGCGCAGATTTCCTGGATCTGAGCTGGACCCCCCTCCCTGGCGCGCGGAACGCGCCAGGGGCGGCGCCGGATGCGCCTGGATGGGGGTATAGTCCATGTCTTTCCAGATTCCAAAGGTGTATCCCCAACTGGCGTGCTGAGATGGTGGGGGTCTGGATGGAGATGGGGATTGGGATGGGGATCGGTTATCTTTTTTTTCCCGGTGGACTGGGTTCTTTCCCGGTCTGGGTGTTTTCCCGGCGCAGCGCCCGGAAAGAGTTCATTTGTGCAGCTTTTCAGCGGATGTCTCCTGCGTCGGTTCTCCAAAATACCGATGCCACCGAATGGCTCGCCATTCAGTTTCGCTAGGGACACACCGGGGAAAAGTCCAGTTGTAAAGAAGTACTACGCCTACGAGGGATCATGGGGACCATGCATGTGCAGTCTTGTATATATATATATGCAAGACTGCAGTGGCGCTTCGCGCAATGCACCTTGGTCCTTGAAGGTTGGTATGCAGGCGGAAATGGCAGGAAGGTCAAGCGGACAATTTTGCGATAATTCCTTGCTGCCTTTTCTGGCATCGCCGTTATAATACTGTTGTTCGTTATCCCTCCTTCATGCTTATTGTTCCTCATTCTCGCCATTTCCTGGGTATTCTCCCCATCCTCCTCAGCTCTTTTTGCGGAGGCTCCTCCTTGGAGAGCCTCTGGGGGCCTCACCAAAGTTCTCAGGCTTTCTTAAAGCCTTCTGGAGGCCTTCTGGGCGTGTTCTGGGGGCCTCTGGGGCTTCCTAAGGCCAACCTGCCTCTAACCGCAGTCTCCCTGAACGCCCCGGTCACGATTTGGAATGCTTCGGAGGGTGTCTTGGGGCCATCTTGGGCCGCCATGGGGCTCTCTTAGGGCCATTAGGGACCCCTGTCGTGCCGTTCTGGGGCTCTCTTGGACTGCCTTGAAGCCCTTTCGGATGGTTGCGGGGCGATTTTGGAGCCTCCCAGGCGACTTCGGACGCCCAGAAGACCGCTGTCTTGGAGCGTCGGGAAGCCGAAAAGAGGAGAACCCGAAATTCACCAAAAACCTACATTAGATCAATGATTATTCCCTCGCGGGGCCTTCTTGGGGGTGCTCTTGGAGGCCTCTTGGTACGTTTTGGAGCGATCTTTCGGGGTATGACGGCTTCTTGGAGCGATCTTGTCCTGTCTTGGGGTTCTCTGGGACGTCTCCGATGACCCCCCTGATCGCCCTAGGTGTGCTGCGAAGGCTTGGCACAACGCCCTGCGAGGCCCGGGGGCCGCTTCGAGGCCCGTCCGAAGGGTCCCAAAGCCCCAGATCCCGGGAGTCGGGTGTTGGGGGGGGACGGTTTTCCCCCCACCCGGCCTTGTAAAAATGTAGGAAGAGGAAAAGGAATATACACACCTGGTGGTGGTGGTAGTGGTGGTGGTGGTGTGTGTGTGTGTGTGTGTGTGTGTGTGTGTGTTTGTGTGTATGCGTTGGTTTGTGTTTGGATGTGTGTTTGTGCGATTGCGAGTGTGCGTGTGGTGTTGGTGTTGGTGTTGGTGTTGGTGCTTCTGTTGATCTTAGTGTTGGTGGTGGTGGTGGTGGTGGTGGTGGCGGTGGCGTGGCGGTGCGGTGGCGGTGGTGGGTGGTGTTTGTTGTTGTGGTGGTGTTGTGGTGTTTGTGTGCGTGCGTGCATGCGTGCGTGCGTGCGTGCGTGCGTGCGTTGGGTGGGGGTGGGGGTGGGGTGGGGGGTGGGGATGGGGGTGGGGTGTGGGGTGTGGGGGTGTGGGGGTGTGGGGGTGTGGGTGTGTGTTGGGTGTGTGGGGGTGTGGGGGTGTGGGGGTGTGGGGGTGTGGGGGTGGGGTTGTGGGGGTGGGGGGGTGGGGGTGTGGGGGTGTGGGGGTGTGGGGGGTGTGGGGGTTGGGGTGGGGGTGTGGGGTGTGGGGGTGGTGGGGGTGTGGGGGTGTGGGTTGTGGGGGTGTGGGGGTGTGGGGGTGTGGGGGTGTGGGGTGTGGGTGGGTGTGTGGGTGTGTGGGGGTGTGGTGTGGTGTGGGTGTGGGGGTGTGGGGGTGTGGGGGTGTGGGGGTGTGGGGGTGTGGGGTGTGGGGGTGTGGGGGTGTGGGGTGTGGGGGTGTGGGGTGTGTGGGGGTGTGTGTGGGGTCTGTGTGGGTGTGGGTGGGTGGTGTGTGCGTGTGCGTGGCGTGTGCGTGTGCGTGTGCGTGTGCGTGTGCGTGTGCGTGTGCGTGTGCGTGTGCGTGTGCGTGTGCGTGTGCGTGTGCGTGTGCGTGTGTGTGTGCGTGTGCGTGTGCGTGTGCGTGTGCGTGTGTGTGTGTGTGTGTGTGTGTGTGTGTGTGTTTGTGTGTGTGTGTGTGTGTTTGTGTGGAGCGGGGGGTGGGGGGGGAGCGAGGGGTTGAGTCCCTGGCAAGACGACTGAATCACCGGAAATCCCACCAGCCCTCTGGGCGCAGGTGGTCTAACGAGGTTCCTCTTCCCTCTTCCAAAAAACCCCTCTTCCCCTGCGGGGGGCAGGGGTTACCCCTCCCGTTATCCCTCCCCTGGACTTTTTTCGGGGCCCCCGCGGGGTGTCAAGGCGTCCAAAACGGCCTCGGCGAGGAAGCCAAAATCATTTGTTTCACTATGGTTTTGGCTCCATTTTAACATCTTTGGAGGGGATGGCTGAAAAATGTTCCACCAGCCCTCTGGGCGCCAAAATCATTGGTTGTACTAAGGGTTTGGCCCCATGTTGGCCTCTTTGGGGGGGGGGGCGGAAGGTTATCCCACCAGCCTTCTGGGCGCCAGAATTATTTGTGTTACTAAGGTTTTGGCCCCATTTGGGCCTCTTTGGGGGGGGGGGGGGGGGCTGAACGTGATACCATCTCCTCCTTTGATCGATGGCCTTCAAGATGGCCCCAAGAGGCCTTCCAGGGCTCCCAAGATCCCAAGAGGGCCCCAAGAGAGCCCCAAGAGGGCCCCAAGAGGGCCCCGAGACCCCTACAAGAGCCCCAAGAGAGCTCCACTACCCTCCCAAAGAGCCCCAGGAAAGCTCCAAGAGGCGATTTTGAGGGCTCCTGGGAGGGGGCCGAAATCGAGGACCCCCCATCTTTTGATCGATGCTCTCCTAGATGGCCCCAACAAGCCTTCCAGGGCACCAGCAGCAGCCCCAGCAGAGGCAGCAACAACATCAGCAGCACCAGCAGCACCAGCAGCAGCAGCAGCAGCAGCAGCAGCAGCAGCACCAGGGACCACACTCTTTGGATACCTCTTCCTCCTCCTCCTCCTCCTCCTCCTCTTCCTCCTCCTCTTCCCCTCGCCCCCACGCGGCCCCCAGGGATGGCCCGAAGAGGCCTTCCAAGGCCAACCCCTTGCTCCCAGAGATCTCTCGGTTCATTCTGGTTGCTCGCTTTGTTTCCCTAGATTCGGGAGCGGCCAAGAGGGGGGTGTCCAAGAGGGGGGGGTGCAAATCATGACCGGCGGCATGTGCGCGGCCCAGCGGGGGGGCCAGGGATGTAATGAAATAAGAAGAGGCGCCATGAAATCTGGGGAAATATCATGGCCCCCGCCATGATATCCCCCCCCCTAGTAATCACCCCCCTCTTTTCCGCCCCCGATAGATGTGTCCCTTCGTCCCTTTTCCCGTCAGCTCTCGTGGGCAGGGCTTCTGAATGGGCTGGTGGGGATACTTCTTGAGTCGCAGCTGCAGGCGAGCGCGCCGACAGCATTAGTAGAGTAGCACGGGCCGTCCTCGAGCCGTGCACAGATCCGCGGAGCAGCTTCCCGAGTGGTCGGCCTCGGGGTGCCCTGGCCGGGCACCCCACCGGATGGAGGCCTCCTAGATGGGGTCCGAGTCGATGGGGCGGAGGATCGCGCCGCATCGCCAATGCATCGCCGACGCATGACCGATGCATCAGCGACGCATCCACGACGCATCGGCGACGCATCGGCGCCGTCGGCGTGGGGAAGCACGGCCTCCACGTCGAGCCGCATCGTCGATGCATCGGCGATGCGGCGCGATCCTCCGACGCCATCTTTGCTCCACCCCCATCTAGGAGGTCTCTAAGGATGGCTCTGTCCAGGCGTGGTGGTGGTGTTGTACAGGCGCCGTCTGCGCAGGGAGAGCAGCAGTCGGGACGCGACGCTGGATGCACATGGACTTTCGACGTCGTGGCTTATTTCTCATCGTGGCTCCCCAGAAGTCTGCGTGAAAGATCGGACCTCGCCCGGGGTGCGTTCTGCGTGAAAGATCGAGGCGAACCCAGCGGTGGCGACGAGGGCCTCCCAGGAGGCCCCCCCAAAAAGAAAACGGGCGCCTCTTCCTCCTCCTCCTCCTCCTCCTCCTCCTCCTCCCTCCTCCTCCTCCTCCTCCTCCTCCTCCTCCTCCTCCTCCTCCCCCTCCCAATGGTAGCGGTGTGGGTGCCCCTTCCTCCTCCGAGGCCCGGCACCCAACCGTCGGAGAACGGCGCGGGATGGAGCGGCCGCTCCCGGGAAGGGGCGCAGACTTCTGGGGAGCCACGATGAGAAATACACCCTGCGAAATGCTTAAGAAATCATGGGTTAAGAAATTCATAGTCTCAGAATTTGAATAAAAACCCATAATTTCTATCAAAATCTTGGGATTTACACTGAAACGTTAAGAATAATCGAGACTCTGGCCGAAAACTTGGGTTTTCTTAAGCATCGCCTGGAGTGTAAGCCACGACGTCGAAAGTCCATGTGCATCCAGCGTCGCGTCCCCACTGCTGCTCTCCCTGCGCAGACGGCGCCTGTACAACACCACCACCACGCCTGGACAGAGCCATCCTTAGAGACCTCCTAGATGGGGGTGGAGCAAAGATGGGGTCGGGGGGATCGCGCCGCATCGCCGATACATCGGCGACACTGTGCTGTGCACACGCCGCGTTTCGACGGGAGCGTGCATTCGGTGCCCTTCCACCCGTTGGGTCTGGGCCGATACGTCTTGGTGTGGTTGTCTTTTCGGAACATGGATACACCTTGATGTCGCTGACGCCGCGTGCCGCCGTCGGGATCCTCGTTGGACTTACCACCCCGACCTCTGTGTTACCCGACAGGCTGGGGCTGGCGTCCTCGGCCGTTCCCTTGTCCGCTCTTGGACGTTGGAACGTTTTCGCGCCATTTTGGCTGCGCTTGGTGGTCTTGGTGCCTACCTCAGGCCTGTTGGACGCACCTGCATGCCCGTTCAGGGGCTGTCATGGCACCTGGATTGCATCGTCTTCCCTGGACGCTGTCGTGAGCCGCTTGATCCGCGGCCCTGCGCGCGTTAGGTAATTTAGTCGCGTCCGCGGCCCGTTCGCGACCTTCCGCCGCTGGCGCTTCCGCCTGCGGCTGTTAAAAAAAAGTAAAAAAAAAACATCGGCGATGCATTGGCGATGGACTGGCGATGCATCGTCGACCTGGGCGATGCATCGGCGACGTCGACGTGAAGCAGATCGGGCTCTACATCGAGCCGCATCGGCGATGCAACGGCGATGCGGCGCGATCCTCCGACCCCATCCGGGAGGCCTAGAATCCTGTACCCTGGCACGGTGGGCTCGAAACCCGTCCCTGCCGCCTTCCCAGGGTCAAAGGGGGATCTTCGACGAAAAAAAAAAAATACTCAACAAAATACTCCAACATGGTCCCAAAAAATGCTCAAACAATAGGCCCCAGACCATTTTTACTATTCTTGAATACTCCTCCTGTGGAGGGGCGGGCCCGACTTCGGGCCATCGACGGCCCGGATCGATCTGTGCTGGCCCCAGAATCGGGGATGGACAGACCTCCCTTTAGTAAAACGTGGTTTCGTGAAAACGACCTGAGGCCCAAACCTGGCGGGCGCAAGCCTGGAAAATAACGGCCGCGGCGCCCTCTCGAGAGCCGAAAACGGACAATTCACTAATCGACGTGTCACTGTTGGGGGTTCTGTCCACCCCCGACAGAACCGCCAGACAAACGCCAGAAGACGTGCTCGCACCGTGACCCTCCGGGCCGAGGCCCGAGCAGGCTGTCCGGCCTCGAGGCCGTAGAGGGCAGGTCTTCATACATAGGATGTTTAACACAGGGGATTTTGTTGTATACATGATTCAGTCACTAATAAATCAATACAGAAATCCATCATTGTGTTTAATGTTGGATCCCTTTCTGTGAATGCATGATCCTCCGCACGCGGAGCACGCATTCAAAACGGCACTGTGCGTACGACCTCGAGGATCGAGGGTGCCTTCTGCGGACTCCCCCCCCCTCCCTGCTGCTCCCCCCCCCCCCGCGGGGCCACGGTGTAGGAATACAGCGCGATGCCGAAGTAGAACAGGGCCAGGGCGACTGCGAGGCGGGGCCCGGCCAGCCCCCGGGGGCGGGGGGGCGGCGGGCTCGGGAGCGAGCACGCGGCTCGCCCGCGGGCACGTGGCGAGGCACGGCCCGGAGGCCTCGCGCGGCAGCTTGGGACGAAGCCTCGCGTCGGATCCACGTCGGAGGTACGTCGGAGCACGCCGGGTCCACGTCGGACTCGCCTCGGATGTGCGTCGGGCTCTGCCAGAACATCGCCGCGCGAGGCGAGGCCTCCCGGATTTCCCTCATGGAGCCTGGGGCCAGCATCTGCGCACGTCCACCAGGAGACAGACGCCGTCCAAAGACCACCCCCAACGGCGACGCGTCACCGATATTACGTATGATTCCCTCCCGATGACCAGGGGCCAAGACGACGACCGTGCACTCAGGAGGCAACTCCTGGAAAATCTTCGGGGGCAGCTCGTGGAAGCCTCCCATACCATCTCGTCGGCTCTGGCGAATCGACGCGAATCGACGCTAAGTCGACGCGAGATCGACGCTAATCGACGCTAACCGACACGACGCTAAATCGGCGCTATCTCATCGACTCCAGATGCTAATCGACGCTAACCGATGCTAGCCGGCCCACAGCCAGCCCCGCAAGGTCGGCCCCCGCGCGGAGGGGGAGGGGGAGGGGGAGGGGGAGAGGCGGAGGCGGAGGCGGAGGCGGAGGAGGAGGGGGAGGAGGAGGAGGAGGAGGAGGGGAGGAGGAGGGAGGAGGAGGAGGAGGAGGAGGAGGAGGAGGAGGGAGGAGGAGGAGGAGGAGGCGGAGGAGGAGGAGGAGGAGGAGGAGAACACGCCCAAAGTCCGAGAGCAGGCCGTGGCACATCTCTCCTCGGCGAGCGGCTTCGCGGCCGCCCGCTGCAGCGCCGAGAGAGCGCGGGCAGAGCCGGCCTCTCGGCGGAAGCCACCAGAGCACCAGGGCACCAGCCTCCTCCTCCCTCCTCCCTCCTCCTCCTCCTCCTCCTCCTCCTACTCCTCCTCCCTCCTCCTCCTCCTCCCCTCCCCCTCCCTCCTCCTCCTCCGCCTCCTCCTCCTCCCCCTCCTCCTCCTCCTCCTCCTCCTCCTCCTCCTCCTCCTCCTCTCTCCTCCTCCTCCTCCTCCTCCTCCTCCTCCTCCTCCTCCTCCTCCTCCTCCTCCTCCTCCTCCTCCTCCTCCTCCTCCTCCTCCTCCTCCTCCTCCTCCTCCTCCTCCTCACGGCAAAAGCGGGTTCAATGCCGACCGGGCACCAGATCATCCGACTGCAAAGTGAGTGACCACATCTGAAGGGGCCCTGGGACACACCAATAAATAGACACAACTAAAAAGATTCCCCCTATTTTTCCATATCTTCTGGGCTTTTGGCTTCCCCCCCGCTTCCCATATTTTCCCATATTTTCTGGGAAATCGACGATTAATTGTGTCTGTGTGTTTTTTCCCCTCCTGAACATCATAATTTACCCTTTTGGACGCCTGAGGTGGGCACGGCAAAAGCGGGTTCAATGCCGACCAGCGCATGTCGTCCAAGACCGACAGCGGCCACTGCTGGACGGGCGGCCGTCCGCCTCAAACGGACGCCGTCCGCGGCAACGCCGGCAACGAACCCGGTTCAAAATGGACAAAACCTGCTCTCGGTTGGTGTTGTTCCCATCGTACTTAAGAACAACATCCCATGAATAATTTCGAGCACCCAGAAAAAATCGAAACTGTGTCGAACGATCGCCCCCAGGGCCCGACATGCGAAAACCCCCCAGCTTCGTTTTTTGTCGGTGTCCGAATTGTTTGTTGGCGATCAAGGCTGAAGTCGGCTGAAACATCGTAATTTTCGGTTTTCGAACGCAGTGGACGCCCAAATTATCCGGGACAGCTGCGGCCCCGAGGTAGGATTCGGTTTGGGCCCCAAAACGCGAATCTGCAGCTCGCCATGACTGCCCCCAGCCCTGATGATTCGGACGAGTTGGACGCCCGAGCTATCCAGGAGAACTGCGGCCTGGGATGCCTCCAGCTGGGGCCCCCGCGGCGCCAATCTGTAGGCACCCCTGAGTGCCCCCAGCCCCGATGACTCGGACCTCTGAACCCATTTTTCCGACCCTACGCGAGCGCGTTCCACTACTCGCAAAGTGAAAGCTCGCAAATGGCCCGGACCTGTCATGAGGGACGCTCGCGAGGAACCACTTTGCGAATAGCGGAACGCGCTTGGTGAGTAGAAAGCGAAAAACGGAAGCGCAAACATACATGTTTGGCGTTTCGCGCGGACTTCTTGGATCTGGGCTGGGCCCCCTCCCTGGCGCGCGGAGCGCGCCGGGGGCGGCGCCGGAGCCGCCCGGGGGGGTGCCCAGCGCGGATCCAAGAACTCCGCGCGGAGCGCCAAACAGTTTATGTGTATGTCGTTGCTTTCTTGTTCGACCCATCAACGGCCAGCCGGGGCGAGGGGCGCCGCTGGCTGGCGCCGCGGGCACCGCCGAGGTATTCGGTCGCGCCCTTGCCGTGCTGTGTTTCGCGCCCGCGCGCTGTGCCGTGGCGCGCTGTGCTCGGTGTATCGAGGTACGGACCACCCGCGCCACGAGGGCGAGGACGAGGACGAGGACGACGACGAGAGGCCACGGACGACGCAAGACGGACGATGACGATGACGATGACGATGACGACGACAAGGACGAGGACGAGGATAAGGACGAGGCCGACGACGAGGACGAGGACGAGGACGAGGGCGAGGACGACGAAGAACGACAAGGAAGAAAGACGAAGATGACGACGACGCCGACGATGTCGACGAGAACGGCGACGACGAAATCGACGACGCCGACGACGAGGACGACGCCGACGACAACGGCAACAACGACGCCGACCGACGACCGACGACGACGACGTCGGCGACGACGCCGGCGGCCATCGACCCGCGACCCACGAGTGATGAGATGGGTGTTCTCATTTCTGCCTCCCCGCTCGCTCACCCTCCCTGGCCCTCCCTCCGCGCGCCGCCATGGCGCTGGGTGGCTGCCTGCAGCCGCCACGCTGGGGCCCCGGGCTCGGTCTTTGCCGCCCGCCGCCTCCGCCGGCCCAGCATCTTTGCTGGACACACCCTCCGCCCGCGAGCCCAGTGGGGAACGCGCAGCCACCGCCGGGTGAGCCCGGCCCCTGATGGCATCGCACCCTTGGCCCGCTGGGCTCGCTCTTGACTGCCTACCAGACCACCCCACCCCAACCCAACCCAAAGGCCCGAATGTCGGGTTGGGGGGGGGTACGGCTTCCGTGTGTGTGTGTGTGAGTGTGAGTGTGAGTGTGAGTGTGAGTGTGTGTGTGTGTGTGTTCTCGATGCTCCCCGACCCCCCCCCCACTGGACATGGAGGGCAAAGTGAGGCCTCTGGGTTGGGTTGGGGTGGCTTGGTGGGTGGTGAGATCTGGTGCCTGCACTGCGCCCCGCCGTCGCTGGAGCCTCGGCGCAGCAGCCGCCCTTGTCCCTGCCGGCGGGGCCAGCTGCGCCGCTCGTTCCGGGCGTGGCCCGTCCCCCCGCGCGGCCCTCGCCCCTTTCCCCCCCCCCCCCCCTTCGGCCGCCCGCCCTCCCCCTTCCTCTCTCTCTCTCTCTCGCATTGCGGCACAATTCGCTACAACGGTGCCTCCGTTCAGACTGCTCTTGCGCCAGCGCAGCTCCTCTGCCTGGCCGCCGACGCAAAACGAATCTCACGCAGCGCTGCTGTTCCGGGTCTCTGCGCGGCGTGATAGTGTGGTCGCCCAAATGCCTTGCCATCTCCTCCTCGCTTGGAGCGAGCGACGCGAGGGCGGAGCGACGCGAGGGCAGAGCCGAAGGAAGCGGAGGCAAAGGACACGGAGGAGGAGAAGCAGGAGAAGAAGGAGAAGGAGCAGCAAGATTAGCAGGAGTAGCAGGCGCAGGTCGTATTGAGCGCAGGGAGCAGTTGGAGCGAAGACAACAGTCTGAGCCTTGCGCCAACTTCAAGTTTGCCGTAGGCCCAGGGATATTGGTTTAAAGAAATACGTGGACATGATGGCGAGGCCACGAGGAGGAATACCCTTTTCGCGATTTGCACTTTGCCTCTTTGCCTCTTTACGGTTGCTATTGTTGTTCGGTGTGTGTGTGTCTCTCTCTCACACTCACTCTGTATCTCTCTCTCTCTCTCCCTCCCTCTCTCGCTATCGGCACTTCTTGCATTTGCGGGTGCTGAATGCTGCATGGTCTATTTTCCCCGCGGCACGCAACTGCCGCTGTATGACCAAGCCGGGACAATATCGTCCAACATCGAAGAATAATATCGGATAGGCAATACGGACCAACATCAAATCGGAACATTGGATCGAAACGGAATCTGAACGTCCGATCGCCCTTCAAGGACACGGAATCGAAATCAAGTCCCCTCGCGCTCCCACGAGAGATCGGGTGCCGAGCACGAGCGCCAGAAGGGCAGTTGCCATCGCGGCACGAGCCCATGGCCGCAGGTCAGGAGTGTGGCCCGAAAAGCGGCGTCGACCCCCATTGCAGGGTGCGCCGACGAGGGCGGCCGGGACCTTCTGCTCAGCGTGGCGGCCCCTGCAGCACATCATGCCCCGCAAGGTCACGGTGCGTCGCTCTGCTTCGTGGCGTGGGAAGCTGGGATAAGCTCGGGAACGTGGATGGGACCAGGACTATGATGTTCCAACCTGCCTTAGCCTGCTCGGGGTGCTCGAAACTAACTATTTTGGGGACATGGCCCTCAAGTGCGATGGGAGCAACATGAGACTGGGATTGTGTTGCTCCCATCGTGCTTAAGGACCACATCCCAGAAATGATCTCGAGCACCCGGAAAGGTGTCGAAAGAGTGCCGAAAGAGTGTCGAAGCAGTGTCGGGCGAGTGTCTCCCAGGGCCCGGGCACGTGAAAGCCCTCCGATTTCGGTGCTTTCCTGGCGCTCGAAATTCTGTCTGGTGATAGAGGCTCAAGTAGATTGTCGGGCCGGGCGAAAGGGGGGGATTGGGAAAGGGGGGGTTACGAAATTTGCTGCGTGCAGCTGGTTTCGGCCTCACCGAGGGGCCCATTCCTCGATACATAGCCGCCTCCGGCGCCGGGAGGCGCCGGGAAAATCAGCTACGCGAGCTGATTCTCAAACCCCCCCTTTGCTATCCCCCCCTTTCGCCCGACCCGAGATTGGAACATCGTAAGACTGGGACGCGCCGAGCGCGTCGCGCCCACGCGTGGAGGGGCCCGAGGCCAGCGGCGCAGCGCGCGGAGCAAAGTAAGTGTTCCTCCCGGCCGCAGCGCGCCGCAGCCCGAGAACCATGTGCGCGGACGGGGGGGGGGGGGGGCAGAACCCGATGTAGCAAAGATTACCCTAGTGCGACCCTACCTAGAAGTTGGACCCCCTAGGAAAGCAGCATTAGTTGCTATGCTATGCTATGCTATGCTATGCTATGCTATGCCATGCTATGCTGCGCTATGCTATGCTATGCTATGCTGTGCCATGCTATGCTATGCTATGCTATGCTATGCTGCGCTATGCTATGCTATGCTAAGCTATGCTATGCTATGTCATGCTGCGCTGTGCTATGCTAAGCTATGTTATGTTGTGCGATGCTGTACTAAGCTGCGCTATGCTATGCTATGATATGCCATGCTATGTCATGCTATGATATGCTGCGCTATGCTATGCTATGATATGCTTGGCTATGGCATGCTATGCCATACTATGCTAATGCTGCGCTGCGCTATGCTAGGCTAAGCTAACCCTCTAGGCAGAGCCTAGGTAGGGAATTACACCCATGCAATTTACACCCATGTTGCATTGCTTTGCGTTGCTGGTGCTTTGCTTTGCTGTCGCTGCTGTTGCTTTGCCTTTGCTTTGCTGCTATGCTATGCTATGCTCTGCTCTGCTCTGCTCTGCTATGCTATGCTATGCTATGCTGCGCTGTGCTATGCTGTGCTGTGGTGTGCTGCGGTACGCTGTGCTATGCTATGCTATGCTGCGCTATGCTATGCTGGGCTATGCTATGATATGATATGATATACTATGCTACGCTATGCTATGCTATGCTGTACTCTGCTTTGCTAAAGCTCAGCGAAGCTAAGATGAAGGTCAGCTAAGCTAAGATACACCTGAGCTAAGATGAAGCTAAACTAAGCTAAGATGAAATAAGCTAAGCTATGATGAGATAAGCAACGCTAAGCTAAGGGGGGCGTAACTGGGGGAACCGCGGGGCGGATACTGGGGGAACCGCCCGGGCCGGTTCCCACTGTCCGGCTCTTTAAGCCAAGAGAGTAAGAACCCTTCTAGGCAGAGCCTAGGTAGGAAAAAAAGAGTCGGGGATCGACAGAACCCCCTTTAGCAAAACGTGGTTTAGTGAAAACGACCTCGGGCCCAAACCTGGCGGGCGTAAGCCTGGAAAATGACATCCGCGGCGCCCTCTCGAGAACCGACAACGGACAATTCACCAATCGACATATCAGGGTGGGGTCTCTGTCCACCCCCGAAAGAGGGGGCCATGACATCGGGGAGGTCTCACGCCATCGAAGCCGGTTCGCACGAGCGGTCTAGAACAATGCCGGAACAGAAACGAACCCCGTGCCCAGAGAGGGAGCAGAAGTGCTTGAGCTCCGCACTTTGACCTCCGGCACTGCTCTAGACCTCCTTTTCACCAGGAGTATCTGTTTGTCTCCATTGCATGCCATATAAATAAACTATACGAATTACATACTACACACACGACGCCTGGTTTGGCATGGGGGAAGCGGGCAAGGAGGGAAACGGGTCCTGGACAACGGGGCCTTCTCCCAGCCGGGACGAGAGCTTCCTCGTGAAGGACCGTTTTCTCACGGTCCTGGGGCTCGTGGAGGGCCCCGAGAGCCTGGAGACGGCGAGAAGCATCCGGACACATTTCCCTCCGGACCCGCTCCCCCCACGGCGACTGGCCTTAGGTCGTGCATGTCCTCCCACAGGTGGATCCTGGACGAGGAATAAAAAGAAAGCAAGACATGCTCAAACATAGTCAACAGCTCATCGAAACATCGTCCCCAGACTATCTTTTGACGCAATCTGGATACCTGGAGGAGGCGCAGGACGTCTGGCGAGGGGTACCGTCACAAGGGCGATGCAGCGCTTGGCACGCCATATGATATCCCTGTCCGTCCATCCCTGACCATCCGACATTGATTTTTCTTAAGTGGCTTGAGTCTTCCACCTGTAGAGGGACGCGCCCGGCTTAAGACTGGTTGGTCCCCACCCCCCTCTCTGGGCGCCCCCGCCCTCGCAACTGGGGCGGGCGCCCTCCGGAAGGCCGCCGCTCCGCTGCTCCCCGCCCGCTGACCGGGGGCCCCTCGCGCCCGAAGGATTGCAAAAAAACCAAGGATTGCAAAAAAAACGAAGGATTGCAAAACAAAAAAAAGGATTGCAAAAAAACGAAGGATTGCACAAAAAACCAAGGATTGCAAAAAACCCAGGATTGCAAAAAAACCAAGGATTGCAAAACAAAAAAAACCCAGGATTGCGGGCCTGTGGTCATGAAGTAGCAGCACAGGGGGCCCTTGCTCTCGCAGTGGTTCCCCAGGCAGCCGACGGCTGGCGGCGGAAGGCGCGCAGAGCAGAGAGCAGAAGACCGGCCCTCGCAACTGGCACCCCGACACGCGAAGCCGTCTCGCAAACGCACCTCAAGGAAGGGAGCGAACAGCGTAGAGCTATTTGGTAAACGCCCAGGGCCGTTCAGGAAAGGCCAATGATCGGGTCCTGGTGGTTGCTTCTCCCTCGATCGTGGGAGGGAGGGAAGGCGGTTCAGGATGCTCGTCGTCGTCGTCGACGTCATCGTCGTCGTCGAGCTCGTCGTCATCGTCGAGCCTGTCGTCGTCGTCGTCGTCGTCGTCGTCGTCGTCGGGTCCGCGTGGTCCCTCCTCCGAGGCTGGCCGTGGGCCGCCCTGGCGCCCTGGCCCGGCAAGAGCAAGCGGCGGGTGGCCGAGGACGGGAGGGCGCCCGTGCACCACCCTGTTGTCAGAGGGCGGCCCTCCTCCTCCTCCTCCTCCTCCTCCTCCTCCTCCTCCTCCTCGTCCTTCTCACTCGTCCCCCTCCTCCTCCTCCTCCTCCTCCTCCTCCTCCTCCTCCTCCTCATCCTCCATCCTTCTCCCCCTCCTCCTCCCCCTCCTCCTCTTCCTCCTCCTCCTCCTCCTCCTCCTCCTTCTCCTCCCCCTCCTCCTCCGCCTCCTCTTTTTCGTCCTCCTTTTCCTCTTCCGCCTCCTCCTCCTCCTCCTGCTCCTCCTCCTCCTCTCCCTCCTCCCTCCCCCTCCCCCCTCCTCCCCCTCCTCCCACTTCCTCCTCCCCCTCCTCCTTCTCCTCCTTCTCCTCCTTCCTCCTCCTTCTCCTCCTCCTCTTCCCTCCTCCTCTCCTCCTCCTCCTCCTCCTCCTCCTCTCCTCCTCCTCCTCCCCCCCTTCTCCTACTCCTCCTCCTCCTCCTCCTCCGCCTCCTCCTCCTCCTCCTCCTCCTCCTCCTCCCTCCCCATCCTCCTCCTCCTCCTCCTCCTCCTCTCTCCTCCTCCTCCTCCTCCTCCTCCTCCTCCTCCTCATCATCATCCTCCTCTTCCGCCTCCACCTCCCCCTCCTCCTCCTCCTCCTCCCCTCCTCCTCCTCCTCCTCTCCCTCCTCCTCCTGCTCCTTCTCCGCCTCTCCTCCTCCTCCCTCCTCCCCCTCCTCCTCCTCCGCGCTCCTCCTCCCTCCTTCTCCTCCTCCTCCTCCTCCTCCTCCTCCTCCTTCTCCTCCTCCTCCTCCTCCTCCTCCTCCTCCCCATCCTCCTCCCCCTCCTCCTCCCCCTCCTCCTCCCCCTCCCCCTGCTCCTCCTCCGCCTCCTTCTCCTCTTCCTCCTTGTCCTGGCCAAGCATGGTGGCGGTGCGTGGATGCCCCCACGCGAAAAGAGAGCGCGCTTCCGAGGAGGTGGAGCCGAGAGGGCAAGCAGAACGACGAGCACGAGGAACGGACGGTACGAGGAGCAAGGCGCACAGCGACTGGAGAGACCGCCGGGGCCACAGGAAGGGAGGCGAGCGGGCAGGATGGACGACGGACGCTGCACCGCAGGCCGCGAGACGCTGCATCGCGCCAGAGCCGCAACCAGGATAGAACCTTACGTTTAGCGTGTCGCGGCGGCGGCAACCCTTGCGTCACGCTGTGCCTCTCGGAATGACAGCGTGCCGCTCCGCTTCGTAAGGACGGGAGGCTGGGACAAACTCGGAACTACGATGCCTCGGGACCGGGCGCTGCTTTCGCGTGGTGAGCCAGAGCCGGCGGCGCGACGCGCTGAGCAAGCGTCCCCGGCCGCAGACTCGAAGCTGAACGGGCGGCAGTGGTCGGCCATCCTTCTCCGTTGCAGGCGGCACGCCCGCGCCACGGCAGCAATCGCGAGCTGCTGGTCGGATGGCGGACACTGCACGCGGGCAGGGTGCGCGGGGAAACCCGCACTGAATGGACCTGTCTTGCGCTCCGCCCGTCGCCGTTCTTGTCATCCGTCCTCTTGTCCGCAGCACGGTTCATCCATTGCCCACTCCCTCGAAGCCCCACCAACGAGTCAAACGACAAGAAGGAGGCGAGGGAAAAGAGGCAGGCCGCACGGGGAACGACAGCTAGAAAGGGGGTTGGCTTGGCATTCGCGATGGGAGCGCCTGTGAAAAGTCTGTCTGGGAAAATGCACACCAGGACAATGAAAAATATTGAATGGGTGGAGAGGGGATGGGAGAGAGAGAGAGAGATATGTATACATAAAGAGAGAACCAGCAAACAAACAAACAATGTATAACAAGAAAATGAAAGAGAGAGAGAGAGAGAGTGACTGGGAGGGATGCCACTACTATTATCCTGCCGAAGGACCCAAGCAGAAGCAGCCTCGACTATCGCGGGGCAAGAGAGAGAAGGAGGAGGGGGCCAAGGAAAGGAACTGCGGCGCTGCCTGGGCGAGAGAGCCCCTTGGGCTCGCGGGGGGGCTGCACGGTTCGGCGCGAGCTCCCCGCGCCGCCGTTTCGCTCCCGCCTCCTCCCCCTCCTCCCCATCCTCCCTCTCCTCCTCCTCCTCCTCCTCCTCCTCCTCCTCCTCCTCCTCCTCCTCCCTCCCTCCTCCTCCTCCTCCTCCTCCTCCCTCCTCCTCCTCCCTCCTCCCTCCCTCCTCCCCTCCTCCTCCTCCTCCTCCTCCTCCTCCACCTCCTCCGCCTCCTCCCCCGCTTCCTCCGTTCCGCGCCCTGTGCCCACCGTGCGGCGCGGCGCTCCTGCTCGCCCGGCCCGCGGTGGCCCGAGCCTCCGGCCCCGCCGCTCGGTATCCACCTCCTTCTCTCGTGCGCCTCCCCTCGTTGTCCATGCGCCCAGGTTGAAGGGGCCCCAGGACACACAAATTATCCCAGTGCGACCCTACCTAGGAGTTGGAAGCCCTAGGAAAGCAGCATTAGTAGTAACAGTAACGCTAAGCTAAAGCTAAGCTGAAGCTGAGCTAAAGCTAAGCCACAGCTAAGCTAAAGCTAAGCTAAAGCTAAGCTAAAGCTAAGCTAAAGCTAAGCTGAAGCTGAGCTAAAGCTGAGCCACAGCTAAGCTAAAGCTAAGCTAAAGCTAAGCTAAAGCTAAGCTAAAGCTAAACTGAAGCTGAGCTAAAGCTAAGCTAAAGCTAAGCTAAAGCTGAGCTAAAGCTGAGCTAAAGCTAAGCTACAGCTAAGCTAAAGCTAAGCTAAAGCTAAGATAAAGCTAAGCTGAAGCTAAGCTAAAGCTAAGCTACAGCTAAGCTACAACTAAGCTAAAGCTGAGCTAAAGCTAAGCTACAGCTAAGCTAAAGCTAAAACTAAATCTAATATAAAGCTAAGCTAAAGCTAAGCTAAAGCTAAGCTAAAGCTGAGCTAAAGCTGAGCTAAAGCTAAGCTACAGCTAATCTAAAGCTAAGATAAAGCTAAGCTAAAGCTAAGCTAACGCTAAGCTACAGCTAAGCTACAGCTAAGCTAAAGCTGAGCTAAAGCTAAGCTACAGCTAAGCTAAAGCTAAGCTAAAGCTAAGCTACAGCTAAGCTACAGCTAAGCGAAAAGCTAAGCGAAACGCTAAGCTAAAGCTAAGCTAGAGCTAAGCTAAAGCTAAGCTAAAGCTAAGCTAAAGCTAAAGCTAAAGCTAAAGCTAAACTACAGCTAAGCTAAAGCTACAGCTAAGCGAAAAGCTAAGCGAAACGCTAAGCTAAAGCTAAGCTAGAGCTAAGCTAAAGCTAAGCTAGAGCTAAGCTAAAGCTAAAGCTAAAGCTAAAGCTCCCAAGGGACTGGGGGGAACCGCTCCCAGGGGACTGGGGGAACCGCCCTGGGCGCTTTGCACTGCCCCGCCCCTTTAAGCTAAGAGAGTAAGAACCCTTCTAGGCAGAGCCTATGTAGGGAATAAAGACACACAGATAAAAAGATTCCAATAGTTTCCCATATGTTGTTGGTTTTTGTCTTCCTCCCCACTTCCCATATTTTTGCATATTTCCTGGGAGTCGACGACAAATAGTGTCTGTGTGTTTCTTTCCCTCCTGACAGGTGACCGCGGCTCTGGGCACCGCGCACTGCGGAGTCCCCGCGACGCGCGCCGGTCGCCCCGAAGGAGTCCAGGAGATGCGCGCGGGCTGCCCGAGGCACGGAGCAGAAAGCACGGGCTACGGGGCGTGAAAACGACCACAGCCACTGCTTTTCTTTTGTTGCCGCCTTCCAGCCCGCAGAAACAAAGCAGTGGTTGTGGTCATTTTCGTTGAGCTTGGCACCAAGGAAATGACCACAACCACTGCTTCTTTTTCGGCCGGCTGGAAGGCGGCGCAAACAAGAAGCAGTGGCTGTGGTCATTTTCCCGTCCCGCACGGGTGGCTGACAACGGGCAAGGCGCTGGGGAGCGCGCGCGGGCGTCAGGCAGCTCCTGGAGGCAGAGCGCAGGGGATTCCCGGGGAGCCTATTGGGGCACGAAGCGCATGGACGGTGAGCCTTCGGTTGCAGTCCCTATTGAACCACGAAGCGTATGAAGGGTGTGCCGACATGGATATGCAGTGTGCGGGGAGCCGCATGCGAACCCTGCCGCTGGGGCCCTCGGCGAGGGGCCGCGAAACCGAGTGAGGGGTGTGCCGACATGGATGCGGTGGGCGGGGAGCCGCATGCGAACCCGCCTCTGGGGCCTTCGGTGGAGCTCCCCTATGGGGCTACGAAGCGTGAGAGGGGTGTGCCGAGATGGATGCGGTGGGTGGGGAACCGCATGCGAACCCTGCCACTGGGGCCTTCGGTGGAGCTCCCTGTGGGGCTACGAAGCGTGTGCGGGGTGTGCTGAAATGGACATGCGGTGGGCGGGGGAGCCGCATGCGAACCCTGCCACTGGGGCCTTCGGTGGAGCTCCCCATGGAGGCACGAAACGTGTGAGGGGCGTGCCGAAATGGACATGCGGTGGGCGGGGAGCCGCATAAGAACCCTGCACACGTACATTCATAGATGCACAAACGCACAAAGAGAGAGAGAGAGAGAGAGAGAGACAGAGAGAGAGAGAGATACATACCTATACGACCACCCTTCGGGTGATAAGGAGGTTCGGGGGGGGGGGAACCAACGTCTCACTCGATCGGTCTCACTATCGATCTCAGTATCGATCTCACTATCGGTCTCGCTCGATCGATCTCACTCGATCGATCTCACAATCGATCTCACTCGATCTATCTCATTCGATCGATCTCACAATTGATCTCACAATCGATCTCACAATCGATCACACAATCGATCTCACATTCGGTCTCAATATCGATCTCACTATCGATATCACAATCGCTCTCACAATCAACGTCATCATCATCATCATCATCATCATCATCATCATCATCAACATCATCACATCAACATCATCACAACATCGTCATCATCATGAGGGCACCGTCATCATCATCATCATCATAAACAGCATCATCATCAACGTCAGCATCATCATCGGGACAACATCATCATCATCATCACCATCATCATCTCATCATCATCATCATCATCATCATCATCATCATCATCATCATCGGGACACAGTCATCGTCATCATCATCAGCAGCATCATCATAATCATCATCATAATCGGGACACCATCATGATCACCATCGTTCTCATCATCAACATCATCACCAACATCGTCATCATCCTCGGGACACCATCATCATCATGATCATCGCATCATCATCATCATCGACATCATCATCATCATCGACAACATCATCATCATTGGGGCACCATCATCATCATGAGCAACATCATCATCATCATCATCATCATCATCATCAACATCGTCATTATCATTATTATCATCATCGGAGCACCATCAGCATCACCATCATCATCATCACCATCATCATCATCAGCATCATCGGGACACCATCAGCATCACCATCAACATCATCATCATCATCCCCATCATTATCGCCGGGACACCATTTCCATCGACATCAGCATCACCAACATCATCGGAATCGTCATCATAATCAACATCATCATCATCATCATCATTATCATCATCATCGGGACACCATCATCGTCATCATCATCAACACAATCATCATGAGCATCATCATCCTCATCATCGGGACACTATCATCATCATCATCGACACCATCATCAACATCATCATCATCTTCATCGGGACACCATCACCATCATCTCATCATCATCATCATCATCATCATCATCATCATCATCATCATCATCATCATCATCATCATCATCATCATCTCATCATCATCATCATCATCCTCGCGGGGCACCGCGGGACACCGGCGGGACACCGCTGGACACCGCGGGACACCGCGGGACACCGGCGGGAGACCGCGGGCCACCGGCCGCCCGGAAGGGAGTCATTTGGTCCGGCCGCGCCTCAGCCACACGGGACACCAGCGGGACACCGGCGGGACACCGCGGGCCACCGGCCGCCCAGAAGGGAGTCATTTGGTCCGGCCGCGCCTCAGCCACAGGAGACTTTCTCTCGCCCGCCCACGCAGCGTCGCCTCGCCCGCACGGCACGCACGAACACGAAACCGAAATCGATTTCCCGGTAGGGGGGCTCGCCGTTCCACTTCGATCTCACCCCCTCACCTCCGATATAGAGAGAAAGGGAGAGAAAACAAAGAAACAACAATGAAAACAAATAAATCTTGGCGACGGACCCAACCATATGTAATTGTGAGTGCCGCAATTGTGAGCCCCGCCTTAAGCTGCCTGTGGGGCCACGAAACCCGTGAGGGGTGTGCGAAATGGGTTCGGTGGTGACGCGCGAACCCTGCCACTGGGGCCTTCGATGGAACTCCCTCTGGGGCCACGAATCGTGTGAGGGGTGTGCCGAGTGGGCGCGGTGTTGCCATGCGAACCCTCCCACTGGGGCCTTTAATTGAGCTCCCCTACGGGGCCACGAACCGTGTGAGGGGTGTGCCGACTTGGGCGCGGTGGTGCCATGTAAACCCTGCCGCTGGGGCCTTCGGTGGAGCTCCTTGTGGGGCCACGAAGCGTGTGGGGGGTGTGCCGACATGGGCGGGGGGACGCATGCGAAGCCTGCCGTGAGGGCCTTCGGTGGAGCCCCCATGGGGCCACGAACCGTGTGAGGGGTGTGCCGAAGTTGGCGGGGGGGACGCATGCAAACTCTGCCACCAGGGCCTTCGATGGAGCTCCCTATGGGGCCACGAAGCGTGTGAGGGGTGTGCCGGAATGGGTGCGGTGGCGCAATGCGAACCCTGCCTCTGGGGCCTTCGGTGGAGCTCCTTTTGGGTCCACGAAACGTGCGAGAGGTGTGCCGGACGCATGTGAACCCTGCCACTGGGGCCTTCGGTGGAGTTCCCCATGTGGCCACGAGGTGCGTGAGGGGTGCGCCGAAACGGGCGGGGGAACGCATGCGAACCCTGCCACTGGGGCCTTCGGTGGAGTTCCCTATGGGGCCACGATGCGTGTGAGGGGTGTGCCGAAATGGACATGCGGAGAACAGAGTGATGGGAAATGAAGGGGGAGGGGGCAGCGAGCGGGACGCTGGGCGCTGTCTTTTCAAAACGAGAACCCAACACCACAGGATGGTTGGGAAAACAGACATGCGGAGGGCAGAGGAAAGGATGGGAAGGGGGAACGAGGGGGAGGAGGAGTGAGGAGGTGACGCGGGGCGCCGTCTCTTAAAGACGAGGGCCAAAACCACAGGATGGTTGTGAACAAACAACGAAAACGAGAACGCACAACATTAGCCTGGCGAATGACCCAACCATTTGCAGTTGTGAGAACCGTCGTTGTATGCACCGCACTCGGAGGAACTCCCTATGGGGCCACGAAACGTGTGAAGGGTGTGCCAAAATGGGAGCGGTGGGCGCATGCGAAAGCAGCCGCTGGGGCCGTCGGTGGAGCTCCCTGTGGGGCCAGGAAGTGCGTGAAGGGTATGCCAAAATGGGTGCGGTGGGCGCATTCGAGCCCAACCACTGTGGCCGTCGGTGGCGCTCATTATGGAGCCGCGAGCCCTGTGAGATGTAAACCCTGCCACTGGGGCCTTCAATGGAACCCCCTGTGGGGCCACGAACCGTGTGAGGAGTGTGCCGAAATTGGTGCGGTAATGGCGGCGACAATTGATGACGATGATGGTGATGATGACAGAGATGCTGGTGGTGATGGTGATGATGAGGAGAATGACGCTGATGATGATGATGATGATGATGATGATGATGATGATGATGATGATGATGATGCTAATAATGCAGATGATTCTGATTATGCTGCTGATAATGATGATGGTGATGATGATGATGCTGATGATGATGACGATGATGATGATGATGATGATGATGATGATGATGATGGTGATGATGATGATGATGGTGATGATGATGATGATGATGACGGCAGTGAGTATTTGCGGAGCGCAGGGGGCAGAGACAAGAATGGGAGGAGGGAAGAGGCGGGAGAACGCCGGGCGCTGTCTCTTCAAAACGAGGACCCAACACCACAAGATGCTTGGGAACGAACGCCGCTGACAACGACGCTTCGACCATTTGCGATAATGGCGACTTTCCACTCTGAGCGCTCATGACACTGAGCGCGGCGCGAACCCTCCCACTGGGGCCTTCGGTGAAACTCCCCATACGTAGGGCCGCGAGCCGCGTGAGGGGTGTGCCAACTTGGGCGCGCTGGTGCCATGCGAACCCTCCCACTGGGGCATTCGGTGGAGCTCCTTATGGGGCCACGAGCCGTGTGAACGGTGTGCCGACTTGGGCGCGGTGGTGCTGTGCGAACCCTCCTGCTGGGGCCTTCGATGGAAGTCTCCGTGGGGCCACGAACCGAGTGAGGGGTGTGCCACATTGGGCGCGGTGGTGCCATGCGAACCCTCCCACTGGGGCCCTCGGTGGAACTTCCTGTGGGGCCACGAGCCGAGTGAGGGGCGTGACGGAAGGAACGGCTGGCCCGCATGCGGGCTGCCCCCCCCCCACCCCCCCCCCCCGGGGCCTTCGGCGGAGCCGCGGGTGGGGCCCCGAAGCGTGCGAGGGGTGCGCCGAGACGGTGGACCTACGGAGCGCAGAGGCACGACGCTGACCCTGATGGTGGCGAAGATGTGGATGATGGCGATGGCGATGGTAATGACGAGGATGATGGCGATGAACGATGAGAACTTGCGGAAGGGGGGGGCAGCGGGAGGATGGGAGGAGGAAGGAGGAGGAAGCAGAACGCGGGGCGCTGTCTCTTCAAAACGAAGACCCAACACCACAGGAGAGTTTGGAAAAACTAGCTAAAGGACGACACCGAAAACATGAGAGAGAGAGAAGAGAAAGAGAGAGAGAGAGAGAGGACGAGGAGACGAGCACAAGACCATCGGCAGTGCCAGCGCGGAGACAGCGCGGGAGCCTCCGATGCCGATTGACACAATCGCGGCGGCGAAACAAAGGTTGACGGTCAAGCCGATCGAGCCCAACTCGGAGTCGCCTGTACCCTCGTCTACGTCGATCATCTTCTTCATGTCCTCGGCAGACCACCCCAATGCGAGCCAAGCAACAACGCGATGGCGCAAGACCCCAGCATCCACCACCGCGCCCCCTGGAACGCTGAAGCGTGGCAGGATGCCAACTGCTGCCTGAGAGGGCTTCTGTAAGCCTCCTGGTGGCCCCTCCCACGTCATCTGGCCATCGCTCGGACGTCCATTCCCTGTGTTTTTTTGTTCGGTTTCGTGCGTGGTTGTTTCGCCAGATGATCAAGGATGCTCCCCGATGGTCCTCGCCGAAGGAAAAAATGCACACCTCCGAGCGATGCCACGTCACAGATCTCCGCGCGCCCCCCCCCCCCCCCCGCGCCCGAGGCTCCCCGGGCGGCCGGCCGGGCATTCTATCGGGCGCGCTGTGAGGCGACCGGCGTGCCCAAGAGGGCCCCCCGGGACGGCCGAGGCAGGCCACCAAGGCCGCCAAGATGGACAAACACACGGTGGGCAAAAAAACACACACACAAAAAAAAAAAACACACACACACACAAACAACATACACAAAAACCACACACACAAAAACACGGTGGGGAAAAAGCACACACAAACACACAGTGGGAAAACACACACACACAAAAACACACACACACACACACTGTGGGACAGAAAACGCACAAAACACACACACACTGTGTGTGTTTGTTTCCAACACACTGTGTGTGTGTGTTTTTGTGTGTTGTGTGTGTATGTGTGTTGTTGTCCCACAGTGTGTGGTTTTTGCTCCAACACGCACTCAACAACTCCGAACGGGCGCCCGAAAAGTCACAGGAGGCCTCCGAGAGGTCCCGAGACACCCGCAGGGCGCTCCACTGGAGGCCCTCCAGCAAAGGAGGCCCTCCAGAGGCCCAGCATGCGGACATCCCTTGAGTGATGCTTGATTTTTGTATCGCCCTCCGCCCTCGTCGGTCGAGGAGCGCTCCCCTTGCGGGTCTTCGAGCGCCCAGGCAAAGCACAAGAAGGCCCACTGCGAGTTCCACAAGGGGGCCCTGGACGGCCGAACACTGCCTCGAGAACGCCCCAAGCTGGCCCAACAGGGCAGCCAGAGGGACCCGAGACGACCCCGAGTAAGCCACGAGGAGGCACGGCTCCCAGGACGGCCCCGAGAGACCTCCCGGACAGCCAAGATCCCCCAAGATGGCCCACGAGGGCCCAGCCACGGCGCTGGAGGGCCCCGAGACGGCCCGAAAGAGCCCCACGGAGCCCAGAGCGGCGGCCACAAGGAGGCCCGAATGAGCAGCATGAGAGGTCCTCAAAAAGTGGAGCGAAAGGTGTCGCATGTGACGTGCCTCTGGGCCGAGCTCGAAGGTCGCCACATAGCACTTCGCTGGCACGGTGGCGAATTACAACATCCAGCTGTGACCACTCTGAAACGGGCATCATACCAACACGCTCGGACCAAAGCGTATGCAACACACTCGTAATCCCTCTAGCCCTTCAGGGCGTAGGTGGTTTAGGGTGTTTCCTCTTCCACCCCCTTCTTCCCCTTCGGGGAGGGATTTACCCATCCCCCTACCACCTACCCTGGACCTGGACGGGGCGTTCCGCGAGTCGCCGGAGCGTCCAAAACGGCCTCGGCGAGGAAGCCAAAATCATTGGTTTTAATTTGGGCCCCATTTTGGCCGCTTGGGGGGGCGGCGCTAATGGAGACCCCCCCTTCTTCAATCGATCTCCTCCTAGATGGCCCCACGAGCGCCCCCAAGGCCCCAAAGGGTGCCCAAAGAGGGCCCCAAGAGGTGGCCAAGAGGCCCCAAGAGGCCCCCACCCCAAGAAGCCCCCAGGATGCCCCCAAGAGGCCCCAAAGAGACCCCCAAGAGGCCCCAAGAGGTCCCCCAGAGGCACCCAAGAAGCTCCAAGAGGCCTCAGCGACAATGCCAAAATCATTGATTTTACCCATGTTTGCCACATTCTGGCCTCCTGGAAAGGGGGGGGGGGGGCACTGCTTAAGATGACTCCAAGAGCGCCCGGGAGAGCCCAAGATGACCTCCAAGATGGCTCACGATGTTCCAAGATGCCTCGAGATGGCTCCCATGATGCTCCAAGAGGCCCCAAGACCGCTCCAAGACGGCTCCAAGTGGCCAAAGAGCTCCCCCAGGAGGCCCCGAAGAGGCCACAATCCTTCCAAAACTCAAGGAAATGGATGTTTTTGGCTTTCTCGCCTTTTCGCTTCCGATGGCCATCCGAGGCTTCAAGAGCGCTCCAAGATGGCCCAAGAGGGCTCCAAGAGCGCTCCCAAGGCTCCCTAGAGCGTCCCAAGAGGGCTCAAAGAGGCGCCCAGCCGGCCCCAAGAGGCCTCCACCTAACAGACCCCCAAGAGGCCCCCAAGAGGCTTCCGGAGGACTCCCGAGGCACCCAAGATGCCCCCAAGACGTTCCAAGAGGCCTGCAAAAACTCGCAAGAGACATCCGAGGAGGCTCTTATGTTCGGCCTTTTTCCTTCTCCCTCCTCTCTCCCCTCCCCCTCCCCCACCTCTTCCTCCTCCTCCTCCTCATCTTCATCATCATCCTTACTCTCCTCCTCCTCCTCCTCCTCTTCCTCCTCCTGCTCCTCCTCCTCTTCTTCTCCTCCTCCTCCTCCTCCTCCTCCTCCTCCGTCTCTTCCTCCTTATCAGCCTCCTCCTCCTCCTGCTCCTCCTGCTCCTCCTTCCTCTCTCCTCCCCCTCCCCCACCGCCTCCTCCTCCTCCTCCTCCTCCTCCTCCTCGTCCACTTTCTCCTCCTCCTTCATCCTCCTCCGCCTCCCCTTTTTCATCTGCCTCCTCCTCCTCCTCCTAAACCTGAAGGGAGATCAATGTATTTGGCTTTCTCGCCTGTTCGCTTCCAATGGCCATCCGAGGCCTCAAGATGGCTCAAAGATAGCCCGAGAGGGCTCCAAGAGCGCTCCCAAGGCTCCCAAGGGCGCTTCAAGAAGGCCCCAAGAGGTGCCCAGGAGGCCCCAACAGGCGCCTCAGAGGCCTCCAAGAGGCTCCCAAGAGACCCCCAAGAGGCCCCAAGAAGCTCTCCGAGGCACCCAAGACGTTCTAAGAGGCACCCGGGACCGCCAAGAGGCCCCCAAGACGCTCCAAGAGGCCTCCACTGGGGGACCCTTCCTCTGTGTGCTGCCCGCTTCCCTGATCGAGGCAATTCCTCTGGGCATCGTTTCTGGATGGGCTGGTGAGGTTACTTTTTCGGTCGCGGCCGCGAGACGACGGTCAGGCGGCAAGAGCAAAGTCCGGGACGCGAACTAGGCGAATTAGCTAAGACAGGCGCAAGCCGGCTGGCCCACTCAGACAGCAGCTGCGAAGCTGAGGGGGTGGAGCTGACGGCGGACGGCGCCCTGGAAGCTCGAGCACGTGCACACGACAAAGGCTGGTGAGGTTACGCGAAGCGTCTAGAATTTCGTGACTTGTGGTAGCTACGCAAGCAATCATAACGGGGCGTGACGAGCAACCACCCACTTTGCCACGGCCACCACCACGAATCATCCAGGGGTCACTGCAGGGAACCTCAACCATGTGGAGAGATCAATGGCACTGGTTGGAAAGATGCGGTATCGAAACCCTCTTAGTGAAACCGACCGGTTCAAACCTGGCACGTTCGAAGACACGGTAAGCCGCACAACAAGCTGGTCTGCAAAGCGGGGAGCCCGAACATGCGCGTGACCGCCATGTTCGAAACAGTTATCCTGAACACACATAAATGCTTAGATGTCTTGTAAGACTGGCGTGCGGAACACACATGCACATGTTCTCTCTGCTACTGCTACTCTACAAGCCCAAGGAGCAATCCTCGTACCCATCGAAGCGCATCAACATGCTGTACTGGACGAACTGCACGACACCGACCTTCGCCAACCAGGAAAACAGACTCCCCATGCACATGCGACAACCATGCGTCGCAACCCCCAGATCTCCATTCGGAAAGCAGCCGTCTCGAGAGCCTTCGAATACATCGGCAACAACTGAGATTCATCAGGGAGGCGACAAATAAGAGGAAGGTACTTGGGAGCATCAGCGCGCAACTCAAATCGAACCACCAGGCCGCCAGGAAGGGTCAGGGAAAAACAAGCAAGCAACACGAAAATCAAACAATAGCCCCTTAAATTCAGCAAGCCAGCAAGCATGGCACGACATACCCCAAACACTTTTTGACCAACACGGAGAATATACAAATACGAATACCAATCCTGGCGCCACAGACAACAATCAAACAAAACCCGGAGGATAAACACATGCGAAAACCAATAGAACAGGACCATGAACCAGGATCGCCCCAAGACGGCCCATGAGGCCCCCAAGGGGGGCCCACGACAACACAATGTGACACCAAAAGCGCCCCAAGACGGCCCAAGAGAGGCAAGACGAACTCACATCTCGAGTCTGTCCCGCCGCGATGGCCCCAAGAGCCCTCCAGTGACCCTCGAAACGTCCCCAAGAGGTCCCCAAGAGACTTCCAAAAGGCACCCAAGCGGCCCCTGAGAGCCCCCCCAAAGCCAACCAGTTGCCCCCAAGAGCCCTCCAGCCCCCGAGGGGCATCCAAGGAGTCCCTCGAATGCATCCCCGAGGTTCCCTGCTCACAAACCAGGTGCGGCGCCAGGACTCTTAACGACTTCGCTGCTGTTGGTGTGGAGGTCGGCGGATTGGCGCAAGCCTCTTGAATCTACGTCCGGAAGTGACGTGCTGAGCGGCAGCGTTTCCTGCGGAGGCGATAATGCAGCGTATCCAATGTATCCAATGATTGCCAAATCGCCACATATTGCATTATTTTGCAATATTATGTCTCCCCCCTCACCCCATCCTGGAATCGCGCCACAGCGCCGTACCAAAAGGTGGCGGCCGTCCTTCTGGGGCCTCAAACATACAAGAACCTATGGAAAATCAGCAACTTCGGCCTCTTGGGCTTCTTGGGGCTCCAAGAGGGCCTTAAGATGGTCCAACATGGCCCCAAGACGGTCCCAAGACTTTTCAAGATGGTCCCAAGAAGGCCCATGGGACCCCCAAAGCGGCCCAAGAGGGCCCCAAAGCGTCCCAAGAGCGCCTCCAGGAGCCAAAATTATAGATTCCCCGCTGGCTTTTGAAAGGTTGTCGTGTTCTCGCCTCTTTCGACTCTCAGAGGACCATGACGGCCAAAGCAGCCTCCAGGAAAAAAAACAAGACGGCCAAAGAGGCCCCCCCAAGGGCCCCAGGATTGCTCAAGACCCGAGACGGCCAAAAGAGGCCCCGAAGACGGTCCAAGTGGCCCCCATAACGGCCCAAGAGGACTCCAAGAGAGCCCTCAGGCGGCCGCGAGAAGCCTCCAAAATGGCCTCCGGAGGGGCCAGACGGCGCAAGAGCGCCCCAAGCCGGCGCAAGACGTCAACAAGAAGCCCCAAGAGGCCCCAAGGCGGCCCCAATGACGCTCCAAGACGCCCCCACGAGGCTTTCAAGAGGCTCCCAAGAGCCCGCCCAGAAGCCCAGGGGATTGCAGGACGGAGCGGCACGCACGCGCGGCAGCCGAGCAGGTCACGCCAACCAACGTCCACACCTTCCACATTTGAACACGCCAGCAAGCGGGGCAGAGCAATTCTGCTTTGTAACGCTGGGAGCTGTGCGCCGCTTCTCGCATAAATACTGCCGAGCATCGCGTGCTTTTTAAACCCCGGCACAGAGGCCCATGACGGCCCAAGCAGCCTCCAAAATGGCCCCAAGGCGGCCCAAGAAGCACTCAAAAGGCCTCCATGACGGCCCAACAAGGCCCTAAGACGGCCCAACTCAAGAGGACCCCAAGAAAGCCCCAAAACGGCCGCGAGAGGCCCCCAGACTGGCCTCCGAATGGGCCACACGCCGCAAGAGTGCCCCAAGACGGCCCAAGAAGCCCCCAAGAGGCCCCAAGAGAACCCAAAGAAGCCCAGTGCAGAAAAGGCCCCAAGAAGCCCCCAAGACAACTCCAAGAGGCCACAAAAAAGCTCCCAAGAGGCCTCGTAACGACTGGACTGTGCGTGCTCCGAACGTGCACCCCGCGAAGCGAGAGGAATCCACGTCCAGAAGTGACGTGCTGAGCGGTAGCGTTTTCTGCGGAGGCGATGGTGCAACGTATCTGTTGTATTCGATCGTTGAATAATTGCCACATGTTGTATTGTTTTCTCCACCCCTAACCCCCCCTTGGAGTCGCGCCACTCCGCCGTACCAAGGTGGTGGTCCACTTTTCGGGCGATCGAAAGCTGAACAAAAACCATCGGAAATCGACGATTTGAGCCTCTGGGGCCTCGTGGGACTCCAAGAGGGCCTCAATATGGCCCAAGATGGCCCCAAGACGGCCCAAGACGGCCCTGGGTGGTCCCAAGAGGGCCCGTGAGGCCCCCAAGACGGCTCAATGGGGCCCCACGAGGCTCGAAAGAACGCCTCCAGAAGCCAACATCATTGATTTGCCCTTGGTTTTTGAAAGATTTTAGCGTTCTCGCCTCTTTCGGCTTTCAGAGGACCATGACGGCCCAAGCAGCCTCCAAGAAGCCCTCAAGACGGCCAACAAGGCCCCCAAAGGGGCCCTAGGATTGCTCAAGAGGGCCCCGAGACGGCTGAAAGAGGCCTCCAAGACAGTCCAAGGGGCCCCCAAGACGGCCCGAGAGGACTCCGAGAGGGCCCCAAAACGGCCGCGAGAAGCCTCCAAGATGGCCTCCAAAAGGGCCAGACGGCGCAAGAGCACCCCAAGCCGGCGCAAGACGTCAACAAGAAGCCCGAGGAGGCCCCGGAGCGGCCCCAATGACGCTCCAAGAAGCCCCCACGAGGCTTTCAAGAGGCCCCCAAGAGCCCCCCAGGAGGCCGCCCAGAAGCCCAAGGGATTGCAGGACGGAGCGGCACCCACGCGCGGCAGCCGAGAAGGTCACGCCAACCAACGCCCACACCGTGGCCACAAAGAAGCACCCAAAAGGCCCCGCAAGGACTGGACTGTACGTCCTCCGGACGTGCACCCCGCGAAGCGAGAGGAATAGAAATGACCCACGTGACGTCGGAAACTGAAGGGTGAACCCCAGCAACTTTCGTTCGCATTCGAGGGGTAAACATGCTATGATGTATTGCGACACCATGCACGTTTCTGAGTGCGCGCGCGTACGCGTGCATGCGTGCGCCATACGAAGATCATTCGGGAATGGCAAACTTAAACTCGAAAATTGAATGGTGTAACCAAATCGCTCCACTTGCATTCTGGAACCCAGCATGTTATAAAAAGTGGTAAACACACATGTCTTACGGCACGCGCGCTTGGTCGCGTACGCACACGTACGCGCTCCCGCGTGGGCAATGCTAACACCATAGGGGAATGGACAACTAAGTTCGATACCAGCATGCTGAAAGCCAACTGTCCCGCTCGGATTCTGAGGAACTCAACATGATATGGCGTATGGAGACACAACGCACTCGTCGTGTTGCGCGCGCGTGCGCACTTACGCGCGCGGCCACGCACGCTAGCGCGCGTTCCCGCATGAAAAAAGCAAAACTGAACAGGGAATGACAAACGTAACTTCGAAAACTGCATGGCGAAAACCAACTGATTCACTCGTACAGTAGGGGCTCGTCCACAAGACATCTTCCACAAGAAACCCAACCCTGAGACCCCAGGACGTCCATGGATTTCTGGTGTGGGAACGTCGCGCTCTCGGTCGCCAAAACATCGAAACCCGAGGAACCCAGGGCACCCTGGAGGCACGCAGGATGCTTCTTGGCATGGGTCTCACTCGCATCCTGAACCTCAACCTGGTATATAGTCAGCCGCGCGCACGATCCGATGCCCGGACCGCCGGATCTCCCGAAACGTCCAAGACTTCCGCGCCCCTGCGGTGCAACTCGGCACGGCCGTGGCCAGGCGCAGGGGCCTCTCTCCGACTCCCACTGCCGTCGCTTCGTGTCAGCTCTACAGCCACCTTGGCGCCCACCTCCTCCGCCTCGGCCCACGCCTGCCCTCCCCATAAGCCCCCTCCCCATGTGCCATCTCCCCTGCCCATGCCACGGGAAGACCACGAAGACCGCCACCGCGCCCACGTGCACCGCACCCATGGAGCCGCACGTCATCCGATGCGCGCTGGAGGTAGTCTGCATGTCGCCTGCCCCGAGGCTGGATGACCCCGGAGAGAGGAGACACCCGGGCGGGGAAGCCGAGCGTGAAGTCGAACAGAGGGAGGCATGAACGCAGAAGGAATAATCCCACCAACCCTCTGGGCGAAGGTGGTTTAAAGAAGTTTGCCATCTATCCCCCCTGCCTCCCCTGCTCGGGGCAGGGGCCGATCACTGCTCAGAGGATACGTAACTGCACCCCCTCCCCCAGGAGACCGGGGGCCAACCCGAAATCATGCCGACACCATGCCGACCCGCCCCCCATCATCCCCGTCAGAAAACAATACACACCTCACTCTGCCTCCATACTTGGAGCATGCGCGGCCAACTCGATGCGGCCCCCCCCCGCCATCCTTGTCAACAAAACAATGCTAAGTACACTTTGGGGCAAAGTCTCGAGTGATGCGCATATTCCCTGCTGCGGCAGGGCTACAATCCCTTACACAAAACCAATACAACATGCACCTCGCGGCTAAAACTGGATCATGCGCGGCCATCCCGCGATCACCGCCAAGTGGCTTTTGACAGGGACGGCGGGGGTGGTGGCGCGTGGCCTGCTATGCGCAGGCCTACCAGACACAATGATGGGCATCGGCTTTCAACAACGATAGCGGGGGCCGATCTGTTTCCCGATGTGTGCTGTCAGGTGCGCAGGCGCAACTGACGCACTCTGCACGTGCCCCGACCGCGGCGCACCCGGCGCGGCCGGAGTGTGCGGCACACCTGGCGCACTCGGAGCACGTGGTGCATCTGGCGCACCAGGCGTGCCTGGCACGCTCGGGCCCCAGGGGGGCCTGGCGTGCGTGGCGCCCCTGGCACGCGTGGCGCACCTCACCCAAGCGTCGCGCACGTGGGGTCGGCTTTGGTTCCCAGTAGCTGTCCATCCAAAGACGGCCGCTCAACATCCTCACGCTCGGGTGCTACTTATGTGTAGGGAAGGCGGGTGGGAGTGAGGTCGACGGCTTGCGGGCGGGTGGGTAGCTTGACCCCTCCCCCTACCCACTCCCCTGGGCCTGGGAGGGGGGGGGGGGCGGGCGAATAGTTAAAATGTCCAAGATGGCGATGGCTCAAAGTAGCCGCCGACATACCTCCAAGAGGCCCCAAGACAGCCTCAAGACGGTTCCACATGCCCTTCGAGCGTTCCTGGGCACTCTCCAACAGGCCCACACCCTTCAAAAACCTTGAATATCAGTATGTTCTGCCTTCCTGCATTTTCGCTTCCGATAAACCTGTGAGACCTCAAGATGGTCCCAAGATGGCCCAAGGGAGCCCCAAGAGAGGCCCAAAAGAGTACCAAGACGGCCCCAAAAACGCCAATGAAAACGCCCAAGAGCGCCCCAATGGGGGCCCAAAGAGGTACATATGTTTTGAGCCTCCGAGGGGAGGGGGGGGGCTGAATTAATCACCCCCTTCTTTTTGAGCCATGCAAGCCCAGACGGCCCCACGAGATCTCCGAGACCCACCCCCGAAGGGCCCCAAGAGTAGGAGCCAGAACACACACACACACAAAGGAATTTCACACAAAACGTTTTGGCACCACCAACGGTGCAACGCATATGCGCCCATGCTGCTGGATCCCCGGCGATCCGACCCAAATGTACGGCCGCGCTCTAAGATGCAATTGAAACGTATGGTGTGGCAGCGCTGCCGGCGGCGACAAGATCCCAAGCTCCGCCACCATCAATCATTACATGGTGGCTTGGCACAGCCAAACCAAAATGCAAGGTCAGTTTGTTCATCCGCTGACAGCAGCAAGCGTCGCGGCAGCAGCACGCAGTAGCGCGCGAGGGCATGCAGGGCCGGCGATGTGGCTGGCCAGCTGCCGCCGCGATTTCGGCAGAAGTGCCGAAATCCACGTTCGATCGATTTGGGCGCGGTATCCGGCGCAGCTGCATCGCACTGCCAGGCGCCGTGGCCTTGCATTTGTAGCGCCAGGCCCCGTGCGCTCCTCGAGGCGAGAAAACAAGCTCTACACAAACGAATCGCGCGTGCTCTTACAAGGCCGGCGAAAACGACCGCACACCGAGGAAATTCCTTTGTGTGCCCCCCGCGTTGGCAATGTAACCAGACCGCACACAAAGGAATTACACGATACTTCGTGGCACACAAAAGAATTACAGCAACGCCCTTTGGGTTGCGCTGTTCGCGCGCGATGACAGCTCCGAGCTGGAAAGGAAAGGGGGGCGGGACAAGGCAAAGCAGGGGAAGATGGAAAGGAAGAGGAGGACGAGAAAGAAACGAAATAAGCAACGGAAGGAAGCCAGGATGCGCGCAAGCGAAGCTAACACTGCGCGCCGAGACACTTGTTCGTTCGTTCGGTTGGCCGCGCGGCATATGAATCGAAAAAGAATTGTGTGCTGCCTATCGAAGGGATTTCTTGGGAAGGAGACTCGCGTTCTCTTCCCAACCCCCTTTTTCCCATGCGCCGTTGCGAGCGCGCGACGATATGTTCTGGCACGCGGGCAGAGGACTGCCAAATGCAGGTGAGCGGCCTCTCCACCCGTCACGCGTTCCAAACACATGCGACGAGAGAAAACGCACTTACCACGCAAACCGCCAGCTCCAAACACCGACGCCACCCCGATCCCCGCATCCGTGCCAGGCACCCTCTCAACGACGCCCCCTTCCAGCGTAAAACCAATAAAACCTTTTGTGTTTATGTGTTTTTCCTGTTCTGCAAGAAGGCCCCAAGAAGAGGGCACCCAGAAGGCGCCAATGAGGCGAAACATGCCTCCAGCATTGGGCCACCGCGGGGGATCTACATTCAGGACCCCCCCCTTTTTGAGCCATCGGGCCCAAGACGCGACGCGTCTGAGGTAACAGGCAACGAGTGACACGTCCAGGGCCGCAGGCAACCAGTGACACACGAGGGCAGCAGGTAACAAGCGACACGCTGGGAGAAACAGACAAACAGCGACACGTCGCGCAGACGGTTTGGCGATGGTTGCTGGATGGGCTGGCGGGGATACTTTTTTGATCGCGAGCGCAATTTTTGATTGCGGCCGCGAGGCAACGGTCAGGCGGCGAGAGCAGAGTCCGGGGCAACGGCACAGTGCGAATTGCTGGTGGGGAAACTTTTTTGGCCGGCGGCTCCGAGGCGGCGGACGGGGAGCGGAAGGCGTCGTCTGGGCCAGCCGGCGGGGCTAATTAGCTACACTGGTGGGGATACGCGAAGCGTAAAGACTTGAAATGGGATAACCAAGAGCCGAGACTGACCGTATCACTCCAATTGACAATCACAAAGCGGTGGCAACATTCTGGGATGTGCCCTCAGAAACGGAAGGAGTCCCCCAGCTCGGCACCGAAATCAGGTAACGGAGATCACAGGGGTAGAGATGCGCCTCCCGCTGGTGACGGGAGGGAAGAGCCGGGGGGGAGAGGGGGATGCGGGGCGCCCACCGCCCAGAGCAAGGCCTGCACTCACCAGCAGCACGCTCGACTCCAGCGTTTGGTCGGGCATGTCCTCCTACAGGCGGACTTTGGGAGAAAAATGAAAAACACCCCCCCAAAAAAACCAAGTAGTCAGAACTGGACGGAAAAGCGTCGCTTGACTATTTTTCTGCTATTTCTGAACATTCCTCCTGTAGAGGGAGAGGCCCGACTTCACTCCAGCGTGAAGAACACCCCCGGGGCCCCCGTCGACGACCGCAGCGCCATCCACAGGCAGCCCCGGCTTCCGCTTCGGCTCGGCACGCGGACCCCCGCGGAGGCCAGAATCGGCGGTGGACAAACCTCCCTTTAGTAAACCTCCCTTTCAACGAAAACGGCCTGGGACCGAAACCGACGGACCTGGACCCGCAAAAATGACGGCCGCGACGCCCTCTCGCGAACCGAAAACAGCCAATCCACTAATCGACGTGTCAGGGTATAGGAGGTCGATCAACCTCTGGCAAAAGAAAACCGCGGCCGCTGCTCCCCGGAGCTCTTCCGGGGAGCGCCCTGCCCAGGACTGCGAGGCGAACCCCGCGGTGACGACGAGGGGCCTCCTGGGAGGCCCCCCAGAAAGGGATAAAAACGGACGCAGGGTGGCGGCATCGGTGCGGTCAAAGACCCTAACAAGGACGCGCGGTAAGGGCGCAAGACCCTTGGGAGCCAAAATTGGGATTTTTGGGGCGGCGGACGACGAAAACACCAAGGACGCAAGAGCAAGGAAGAGCAAGGACGCAAGGGTACCCTGAGCAAAGTCGCGCGTCCTTATTAGGGTTTTTGACTGTACCCCTTTTTGGAGGCCTCGACATGGTCACCAACACCACCACGCGGGGTTGCCTCCACTGGGAGAAGCTGATCCCAGATTTCGGTGCTGGTGGTAACATGCCAGGCACCTAGAAGCCCGGATAGCTTACCACCATCACCGAGATTGGGAGCACCTTCCCTCGGTGAAGGCACACCGCCGATATTGGTGTTGGTGTCAAGCTCTAGACTGGGACCCGCAGGGACATACCAATACCATATGTCCTCCTTGGAGGCGCGCGTCCGACCCGAACAGATAGTGGACCCATCTTGTAGTAGATCGCTCCCCGAGCGGTGTGGCCAGAAGGCGTCCGCCACGACGCATATACTATAAGATTTCTCGGTGCGCGCGTCGCCCCTGGAGGGGCGACGCACATCTAGAAAATAAGTACGCCGATAGACCTCTGACTTTTCTCCCTCGGAGCTCGGGGCCGCGCCGCTTGGGGCCCCCGAGCGGCCCCCGCCCCCGCGCCGCTCGGGGCCCGCCGCCCCCCCGCGGGAACCCGCGCGGCCCCGCGCGGCGCGGCCCCGCTCGGCACGACGGGGGGGCCGCGGCGGGGCCCCGCGCGGCGCGGCCCCGCGCCCCGAGCGGCCCCCCCGCCCCCGAGCGGCGCCGAGGGGCGGGCCGTGCCGTGCCTGCCCCCCCCCCCCCCCTCGGGGAGGCGCGCGGCCCCTCGCCGCGGCGCGGCCGCCCGTCCCCGCTGCCGCCGCCACCGCCCGCGATGGCCGCCGCGGGCGCCCTCGTCGCCGCCGCCGCCGCCGCCGGCGCCGCAGCCCCGCCCCCGACGTCTGCCCAGACCTGCAACGCGTCGCAACATGCCACGCGGAAGTCGTCGGGCGCGGCCCAACCGACCCCCAACGAACCGTCCCCTTCCGCGACGGGTACCCTCGCCTCTCGACGTCCTGGGGCGAGGCGAGGGGAACGTCACGGAAGGGGAGGGTCTGCTGGGGGTCGGTTAGGCCGCCCTTGAGCTTATTCCTGGCGTTGGGCCCCAAGGGCCCTCGCAGGGAGCAGGGCCGTCAGAAAACTGCGCCGGATGCAGAGCCAGCCCTAATCATGGGGAGAGGGTCAGGATTCCTGGGGCCCCCGTATTGAAAAATCCGCCTCCTCCTCCTCCTCCTCCTCCTCCTCCTCGTCCCCGTCCTCCTCCTCCTCGTCCCCGTCCTCCTCCTCCTCCTCCTCCTCCTCCCCCTCCTCCTCCCCCTCCTCCCCCTCATCCCCTTTATCAGAGGCGAGGAGGACGCCCAGGGTCGGATCTCTGGGTGCCGATGTGAGGTTGTCCATCCGCGACCCCACAGAAGTCCCGACCGTTTCCTCCAGGGGCGGTTTCTCGTCTCGGGCTCGGGCTTGGTGGCCCGGCGGGTTTTTCCGAGACCGAGAACGGCCCCCGGAGGACCGAAGTCGAGGAACAGCCAGAGACCACATCGTCGAAGCTCCAGGACCAGTCGGCATCGCAGGGGCAACTCGGAACGTGCAGCGGATCCTGCTGCATCGGCACGGCATCGAGATCGCATCGGAGCGGCTGCGCCAAGATGCACAGCAGCGACTTGCGGGCACCGGGCCGCAGCGGCTCGTCGGGCCGGGCCGCGAAGAATTGTACAACGCGGGAGCCAAGCGCGGGAAGAGGAGGAGGAGGAGGAGGAGGAGGAGGAGGAGGAGGAGGTGGAGGGGGAGGAGGAGGAGGAGAAGGAGGAGGAGGAGGAGGAGGAGGAGGAGGAGGAGGAGGAGGAGGAGGAGGAGGAGGAGGAGAGAGGAGGAGGAGGAGGAGGAGGAGGAGGGAGGAGGAGGAGGGGGAGGAGGAGGAGGAGGAGGAGGAGGAGAGGAGGAGGAGGAGGAGGAGGAGGAGGAGAGGACCAGGAGGAGGAGGAGGAGGAGGAGGAGGAGGAGGAGGAGGAGGAGGCAGCGGAGCGGGCCGGCTCGCACCGACAGCGGGTCGGATCAATCGCATCGGAGGGCCGCCGGGCGCTCCCCTCGCCGCCGCCGCCCCGCCGCCCGCCGCTTACCCGCCCTGCCCGCCCCGCCCGCCGCGCGGGCCCGCGGCGCGGCGCCGCCTTCCCGCGAGGGGCCCGCGCGCGGCGCGGGCGCGGCGGCGCC